AACTTGATCCTAATAAAAATCTTAGCAGTAATGAACTAGATACAATGCTTTTGGTCCAGAATAGGGATATACACTCTTACAGTTAATGAGGGCTCTGATCCTTACCGGGCTTAGAAGAAAGAGCATGTTCCTCTCTGTTGGGGAGAGATGGGGTGAGGGCAGCACCATCCGAACTTCCCTCTCAGCAAATCCTCTTCCGCGGTGCATAGGTAAGATGTGAGGGTGCCTGGTATTACTCTATTATATATACTCAGTCTTTGATATGGCTCCTGAAACTCAGAGACAACAGAAAATGTTGCATTTAACACAACCTATTACAATATTTGTTAAAGTGTTTTAGAAACTCTAGGGTGTTATGTGAGTGTTATACTTAATGTAACAGCGTATCCAAATTAAGAGTCCTGAGACCAGCCATCTTGTCACCCAGAAACCTGGAGACTAGGGAAGTCCTCCCTTGGATAGAATTAGAGGCTACTGAATCTAGGAAACAGAGTGGAATCAATCTGCAAATAATGAGTCTTTTAAAATATTTAAAATTAGGAATAAGATCTATGTATCCAAATAATTTTAGGGCTTTGCAAACTTTTGTGACTTTTCATTACAAAGTTTTCATATGGATGAAACTTTTCATTAAATGAAAGAAATAGTTAGAACCAGGTAAGCCTATTTTACATGAAGAAAATTATTAAGAGATATCAACTCAAGCCCTGGTTCACTCTGAGTTTATAGGGAGGTTTCCCATGACGTGGGTGGGCGGAGAAGGCCAAGATACAAAAGGACACACAGAAGGATGCTGAAGAGGCCAGATGGGTGCTTTTCTGTTGATGGAGAACATGGGGGCAAAGCATTGTAGGCATCAGCCTCCTGGGTCCATGTCACCAACACCTTTCCAACATCAGTCTGTTCTTATGGTGCTGGGTTAGGAGGTAGTGATAAAGGGGATGGTCATAGCTAGAGGTTCTTTCCTCAAAGCAAACAGGCAAACAAAACCCCACATATACCTCCCAAAAGCCAGAACATTTTTCCTTTGGCTAGTATTCTGGAATTTTTATTAAACACTTTATCTCTTCTGATTTATTTGCTTTCAGTTGAGGCGAGCTTATATCTTCATCCTTTGAACCCTTAGGACGTGGCAGATGTTGGGGGGTTGCCCATCTCTCCCCATGTGCTGCTCAGAATGTCATCAGGTGGGCTGGTGAAAGGAGGACACAGCTGTTCCCAGGCGATAAAGAGGAAAGGAAATTGTGTCCTTGATTTTATTTTACTTTCTTTGGTATGTGTGTGGTGGTGTGCCAAGATCTTGACTTTTTTTTACTGTATTTCTTTAGTTTTAGGAAAAGTCATTTAATTTCTAAATGAAAATCTGATGTTCTTAACTCTTGGGGGCTGGGAGGAGTTAATCCTTACCGTTTCCTGTGTGTCTGGGCAGTGAGCATCCTGGGGGCTTTGTGTCTTGTCTCTTGCCCCTCCTGGGGCCTGCCACTTAGCAATTACCCTGTACCTACGTGTCTAATGAGCAAGAGGGTATGTGAATGCCCAAAGTGCAGGCACAGCACTGCTGACTGAAAAGAGAGGCAGGCAGCAAAATGGGTATTCTACAGCCCAGTTCCTTCCCAGGATGATTTTATATAGGTTAATCTTTTTGTACGTAAAATCTTTCCCCATATGTAAAATTGATACGGCACATGCCTTTACAGAACCACAGTGACCCCTATCCCCAAACCCCTCATCAGTGATGGACCCTGAGCCCTGTATGGAGCTGTGCTGACCCCACAGCCTGTAGAAGATCCTTGGCAGTGACTGCTCGTTTATGAAGAAGGTGACCCAATAGCCAACACAGGTTATCTGAGGGGAGCCTTGGTCAGACGTAAGGAGGTACTGAGGAGCTTTTATGTTACTGCAGTTTTGGTTCTGAAGATTCATTTTATTACTTTTTAAAATTACAGCTTTATTGTGATATTCATATGCCATTCAATTCACCCATTTAAAGTGTACAATTCAGTGGTTTTTAGTATATCTATAGACTTGTGCAGCCATCATCAAAACCAACTTTAGAACATTTTTCATCACCCTAAAAGAAATCCTGTACTCCCCAGTCTAGCTGTCACTCTCCAATCTCTGTCCCACCTATAGTCCTGGGCAACCACTAATCTACTTTCTGTCTGTATCGATTTGCCCATTTTGGACAGTTCATATAAATGGAATCATAAAAATGTAGACCTTTGTGGCTGGCTTCTTTCACTTAGCATGATGTTTCATCCAAGTTGTAGCATGTGTCAGTACTTCATTCCTTTTTTTTTGGCATTCTGCTTTTTATTTTTATTTTTTTATTTTTTATTTTTATTGGGGTATAGTTGTTTTACAATGTTGTGTTAGTTTCTACTGTACAGCGAAGTGGAGTTCCCTGTGCTATGTAGCAGGTTCTCATTAGTTATCTGTTTTATACATATTAGTGTATATATGTCAATCCCAATCTCCCAGTTCATCCCCTCCACCTTTCCTTCCTTGGTGTCCATACGTTTGTTCTCTACATCTGTGTCTCTATTTCTGCCTTGCTTCATTCCTTTTTATGGCTCAGTAATCTTCCATTGTATGGATATACATTTTGTTTATCCATTCATCAGTTGGTGGACATTTAGGTTGTTTCCACTTTTGGGCTATTATGAGTAATATTGCTGTGAACATTTGTATACTAGCCAAATATTTTTATATTTTCACTTTTGTCACTTTAGACTGACATATGTACAGGTATGTAATTTTGACTCCTCTTAGAATCCAAAAATGTAAGATTTCTTTATGGCAGTAGAAATACATGGAGCACATTTCATGTAGCAGAATAGACTAAAGGGTAGTTTAAAGAAAGTACTTGTTAATGCAGCCAGGGTCAATTTTAAGGGAAAATAAGCTTAAAATAATTTTCTCTAAGCTTTCATTTGATTTATAATTTTCTGTGTATGTACCTAAAATATGCATCAACATGCATATTTATCATTTCAATTATAATGGTGTGATTGGCTAAAAATTTAAACCTATGTAAATTCAGTCTAATTCTTCCATTTATGAGTGCTTACTCCATGCCAGTCATTGTAATAGGTGATGGGTATATAAAGGCAAACAACTAGGGTCTGTGCCTGCACAGTACTTATTATGTCCAGTCTCACTGAGGGTCAGAGCGTGTGTATGAGGACATCCAGCGTGTAGGACAACGTGCTGCCCTCTGCTGGGGAAGCACAGGGCACCTTTGGAGCTTCAGAGGAGAGCCCAAACCAGAGGGAAGGCAGGGAAGCTTCCACAAGGAAGTTCATAACCAGGCTGGAATCTAAAGGAGGAATGGATGTAGATAAGCAAGAGGAGGGGATGTGGAGAAGAGGAGGAGATGGGGTGGAGGAGGGGAGGGAAGGAAGAGCATTCCTAAGCAGAAAGCTCAGTATGCTCAGGGCATCACCTGTTAAAGGAATTGAAAGCAGTGTTCAGGGTGAGGTGTGCGGGGAACTGAGGATGCAGAGAGCAGAGAGAGCCCTGGTACACTGTTAACTGCACCAAGTGGTTTGGACTCTACCCCAAGAGCTGGGAATTCATTTAAGGGCACCACATGATCTGCATTTTTCATTTTGGACAGTCAAGGGCATGTTGAGTGGAAGGTGGGGGCAGTGAGAGGGCAGGTTATTTGCCATGGGGATCAATGGGAGGCTTGACCCCAGCATGCCAGGGAGCCTGGAAGAGTCCCTGTGAGGAACATGTGAGCAGATGGGTTAGAGCAGCAGCTTCTGGGCCAAAGATGAATATTTTAAATCTGCATCATCAGACATCATGGAGGGACATGCCCCTAGGGATGTGGCGAAGCGCTGCACTGGCATGGTTGTGGTTCAGTATGTCCCTTGCCTTAACTGGACTGAGTTGAACTGAGTTGAACTGAGTTGCATTAATTGAACTGGAAATGCCAATAAAAGTAGAGAACAAAAACTGCCAAAACCAATTCTGTGGATGATAGAGTGCCAGCCATCCTTCGTTCTCATTACAGTCAAAAGTCAGCAGCTCCCCCGTTGACTTCACGTATTTGCTATTTATTCTTTGAAATCGAAAGCCTGGAAGAGAAGCTAATTAATTCCCTGCTGCCAGGAATCAAGGAGTCGGGTTGGTAGGCGAGGGGGTAGTAGGGCAAGATTTACCTGAGCAGTTGTTTTGCAACCTTTGGGAGGTCAAGTATCTCAGTCCCGAGAGTCAGAGGGGAATTAGACACCGGGCCAGGCAGGAAGGGGTAAGCGACCTACCTCGTGGGGAGGTAGACATGTGCCTGTAAGCTTTGCTCAGTGAGGAGCTGAGGCTGGAGGAGCTGCGTGACTGGTCAGGGATCAGAGAGCGAGAGATGGAGGATATAGAGTAGGTCTGTCTGATTCCAAATCGGTGGTCTTCCTGCTCCAGCAAGGCATCACCTGAAGTGAGATGCTGAGGGCCTGGACAGAGGTGGCAGTGGCCCTGCCGTGGCCGTCTGCGCGTGGCACACAGGGGTGGGGGGAGGCGGCATAGCGGTGGTGATTAGTTTATGTTTATTAAACTCCCCGTAGATGAGGGGCCCTCTTAGGGACTAGGAGTTGAGTTAATCTCACTTTCTGACCATCTCCATGTGGGTATTTGTTGCTGCAGCTGAGATACACCATGTCATGGTTTGAGGCAACTAGATACATTTCCTGCTTGGCAAGGCCACACTTTTGGGCCAGGGGGCCCTCTCAGAGGCCGTTGAGTCTGCCTGCGTTCATCCGGCATTCAGCTGGAAGGCTTTCCCTTCCAGCTCAGTGACAGGGCTGGCTCTTGGGGGACAAGGACACCATGCACAGGTGAAGCCATGCTTTTAAGGTTTCACCAGACATGCAGATGTCAGAGCAACCCAGATCACTTTGGCCTCCTTTCTGGAGAACATATGCATGCCTAATGGCTGAGCACATGACTTCCGTTTTCTCCTCTCAGGGCAGTGACTCGTGGCTTTTTTATGCTTTGTCCAGGTGTGTACCCTTCAGCTGACGCACCCCAGGAGGCTGACAGCAGCCGGAAACTGGCTCATCTACTGAACGCTGTGACGGATGCTCTGGTCTGGGTGATCGCCAAGAGCGGCATCCCCTCCCAGCAGCAGTCCGTCCGCCTGGCTAACCTGCTGATGCTCCTTTCTCACGTCAGGCACGCCAGGTACAATCCCTGCGGGGGCCGCTCCACGGGGTGCGTGGTGGGAGGGGGCTGTGCACATGCCCAGAGGAGGGCGAAGAGCTTTGGAAAAAGGGTTTTGCAACTTTGAGATGGATAAGGCAGAATTGCCACCTTTAAGGGAAAATGAACCCCTGAAAGGGAAGGGGGTGCATCATCAGTGCCCACACCTGTAACCAAAGACCGGCCACAGCAAGCACTGAATGTGGCGTCGTCCTCATAGGAGCTTTTTATGGCGGCCTGTGTGGCTCATCTGCTTTTCAGTTGCTGGGGCTTTTAGCTTGTTTATGGAGCTCTGAAAGGGGCAGTTAGTTAGTTCCTCTCCTAGAGTGAACTGCCACCTCTTTCTGCACTACCCAGGGCTGGGGTCCTGAGGTCTTTTCGGGAAGAGGTTAAACCCAGCTCCTCTAGATCAGCTCTGGGGCTTGTGATTTGGGGAGGTACACAAAGGCTTCCCTAAGAGCTCTTCTTTTCTTACGATAGCATCAGGTTGTTAAGAGTGAGACCTAAGAGAACTAGTGAGCCCAGTAGGTTTGGGACGGCAGGGCGTGGGTAGAGTGTATTCAGGATATGGAAATTGTGTGCGCTCGTGGAGGGGGATGGTGTGTGATGATGGTTTCATGCTGGTACCATGCGGCTCAGTGCTTGCTGTCACCCAGGAGGAGGGTAGCCCTGCCATGGGGCTGGAAGAGGGGACATGAGGATGGAAGGTAGGTGCTCCCTCGACGAGGAGGGAAGTCTAGGGGTGGTGAGAAAGGACAACACACACCTCAAGAATTTTACCAAGGGGGAGGAAATGGAAATGACCTCCGCCTCTGTTTCCTCTTTAATGATTACTCAGTACATGACCATTTGCAGAGCAGAAACAGTCCATCCTCATTAATCAGAGATTTCCTATTTGTGAATTTGCCTGCTTGCTAAAATTTATTTGTAACCCCCAAATCAATACTCAACGGCGCTTTTGAGGTCATTCGAGGACACGTGCAGCATGGCAAAAAGTTTGAGTTACCCATACTTACGTTACCAGCAGGGGTCACACGAAGTGCTGCTCTGCCTTCTCGTTTCTGCTCTCATGCTGTAAACAAGGGTCCATTACATGGTCTATTTAGTGCCTCATTTTGCCATTCTTGTACTTTGTTGGGGATTTCACTGTCTAAAAATGACCCCAAGCATAGTGCTGAAGTGCTCTCTAGTGTTCCTAAGTGCAAGAAACCTGTGATGTCCCTACAGAAAAAATATACGTGTTAGATACACTTTGTTCAGGCATAAATTTTAGTGCTGTAGGCCGTGAGTTAAATGTTAGTGAAATGGACTGTATGTGTTAAATAAAGTGTCTTTATAACAATAACTCAGAAGAAACAAGGTTATGTATTAATGGCTGGTGAAAATGTTGGGACCAGGACCTCTCAGAACCTAACCCTGTATTTCTCCCAGTAGCAATGGTTCAGTGTTTGCGAAGACTGTGTAGACATAACTATGGTGAACAGCGAGACCCCATTGCACTATGTGCCGGTGCTATCAGGCCATTGTGGGTGGGTGGTGGGACACCAAGGCCCATAGGACATTGTACTTGTCCTTACGTGTAGATCATTGGAGGAGACAGATGCAAGAACCGTAGCTAGCAAAGGGCTGGAAGAAGCGCAGGGTTTGGGGTGGAGGACTGGCTCTGTCGGGGAAGATGTCAGACTTTCCTTGGCTGCTTCAGGAAGGAATCTCAGCACCTTTTTGTCCCCCTAGTAACAAGGGCATGGAACACCTGCTCAACATGAAGTGCAAAAATGTGGTCCCCGTCTACGACCTGCTGCTGGAGATGCTGAATGCCCACACACTTCGTGGCAGCAAGTCCTCGGTCACAGGGTCCGAGTGCAGCCTGGTGGAGGAAAGTGAGAGCAAAGAGGGCTCCCAGAACCCCCAGGCTCAGTGATGCCAAGCCCTGAGGTGTGGTCAGGCTGCAGAGGAGGTCAGAGGCCGAAGCGTGAACTCCAGCACAAATCGTGAGCCCCATCAGGAGGGGGCGGGCTTCATCGGCTTTCTGCTGTGTGATCCCTCATATGGCCCCTCAATACCATCCTTCCCCGACCTCCCTACTTCCCGGGAGTCAGGGTGAGAAAGCCAGTGCTCCTTGTCACCAGGGGGCACATTTGAGTGCAGCGTTTATGTCTTGCTTGGCCTCATGGGATCTCATTGTGGTCCCTCTCACTTCCCATCTCCCTCCCACCCTTTGGAAAACATCTTCTTACAGCTCTTGGAATGACTGGTGGAAATCTGACTTGGAAGCGTTGTCAAGTAGAAAGGGGAGAGAAGGTGGCACATGCACAGGAAGGGGACTAAGCCTTATTGTGCCACTTAACCTGCCCACAGAATTAGTCCTTTGTATGCTGCCTCTGGACCGCTTGATTGTAGGATTGAAAACCACGATGGCAGTCAACTAACTGGTTCCACACACCTATCTCACAGGCCTGTGAGGACAGGTGTCACGTATTGCTGTGACTCTATCCAAGGCCAGAGGGAATGTGACCTAGGGAACCAGTGGTCAAGCTGAGATGCGAGCCACGTTCATCCCCCAAGACCTTGCTGCCGCCTTCATGCAGGTTCACCCCCTCTTGGTTTGCATTCAGAAAGCCTACAAATTACGTGTGTGTGTGTGTGTGTGTGTGTGTGTGTGATCACCTTCATGGAGGAGTGTGGAGATTTAAATACCCCTACCCCTGGAATTGCCCTTTGTTAAAACTCTCTTGTCCCAAGGGGCCCAGTGTGTGTGCTAGAGAAAGGACCAGTGTTTGCAGGAATGGGGTTTCTCCTGTGGGTGTGGGTCACAGCCACACTGCTCCCCTGGGGCAGCCACAACTGCCACCTCAGCCACCCAGGGGAGACAGGGACACTTCAGGCTGTGTGTGTGAGGCATGCTGTTGCACGGAAGGATGAACAGCTACACACACGTCAGCGTGTCATGTTCAGGGCCAAACCGTATAGACGGGGTGAGCGTACCACTTGAACAAGATTGTGAACTCTATTTAAAAAAGAGAAATATTTAGGGTAAGTATTTATAGCAAGAAAATTCTTTTATACCCTAGGGCTCTTCTAGAATATTTTCTTATCAGAACATTTATATGGTGGGCTGGGTGAAATAAAAAGTTAGTAAAATATTAGTTCTTAATCCAAGTGGAACATAAGTAGGACATGGTGACAAAGCACCTCTGAAATTACAATTTTAACTCACTTTTTAAAAACTGAAATTTTCAGGAACATAGTGAATGCAGAAAACGAGCTACATCTATACTCTGGAAGAGAGTAATTAAATAATCATGTGTGATTTTTGCAATGTTTTTAAAAATTACCTTGTGATAGGAGATTAAACACACTTTCTTTTTGAAAATAGTAAATACAGAAATGTGCTAGCCACAGTAAACCAAAGTCATTAGGAAGATTACATTCAATAACATGAGGTTGGTTTCTGCCAGTGTGATCTTGAATAATTCTTAATTTTGATATCAATGCAGTTTTACTAAAAAAGTTGAGCAAAGCTGTATCAGAAACTCTTGGCCATGTACCTAGAGAACACACCGTTGTCTGTCTTCTGAGGTGATTTGAAATTATTCTTAGTGACTTGTTGCAGCCTCAGCAAGATTGAGTACAGCAAATATATTTGATTTCGTAGGAACGAGGGAACCAGTATTTTTCAGCAGGTCAATTTTCTTTCTTTCCAGCCAGTTTAGGAGCCCCCATGACAAACAAGGGGGCGGAGCCTAGAGAGTGGGAAGTGGGAGGCAAAGGAAGGCAGCCGTGAACAGTTATTTGCCAATGAAATTCTCTTAATTGTATTTATAAAAGAGACTACCAGGTTGAAAAAGCAAAAATAAAAAAACAAAAACAAAACAGAATGAGGTCTAAGCCGCAACCCCATTACTATGTAGTGAAGTTTTGCAGGTTGGATTTTGACGCCAAGGTAGGCAACCGATTTGTCTCAGGTGTCCTGGCACCTGTCTGTGCTGCACCCTGTGTGTCACCCGCACGGTGCACGCTCTCATGAAAACTCCTCCAGTGCCCACTGCCCATTTTCCACAGACACTCCTGCATGCTTCTTGGGGCTGCTTGTTTCACTGCATTTGGATTTAGCCCATGAGGAGCATGTAACACTTTTGGTCATTTCTTCTTGGCTGTGGTCTCACCTAGGTGTGCTGAGGAAACCAGTCAGTCAGTCCAACCTGAGAGGCCGCCCTGGTGCAAGGCTGTCTCTTAGACTGGGGTCTGGGCCAAGTAGGCAGCTGAGATAATAAGGTCTATAGTTTAAAGGTGTTCTTTGTTTTGAGTATTCTAGGGCCCTTTCCCCCTTTCAGATGAAGTGTGTGATCTCTGTTCCCAGCTGCTCCAAACGTGTCCTCTAAGGATGACAAAGTGCAAAGTCAGGCTGCTGTTTTTCTGGGTTTTGAGTAAACCCTCCATGTCCATTTTAAAGATTAGCCATTTCTCTTTAATAGTGCTTTCTTAAAAAAAAAAAACAAAAAAAACATAGTGCTTTCTTTTAAACGTCTTCTTTTGGGGGAGGGTATCTCCCCACCCAAATGGTCCATGGGCGACTTAAATTTCTCCCATAGCTAAGCGCAGTGTTTTCAAGTTCAGTTTTTAAAAGGAATTAACTAGAGAGGATAGGACCTGACAACTGTAAACAAGAATTAAATTGAGTATTGGAAAAAAAATAACCCACCCAACTACATTTTATGTATCATGGAAAAGGAATGCTCAGCTTTGCCTTAGACTCGTATGGTGAGATTCCTTTCCTACATTTTGGTTTGTAAGTGATCATTTAATACGACAAACTTAGTTGTGGGGGATGAGTGAGATTTGAGCTAAATTCCAAAAACACGAGTGTCTAATATGGGAATCATATAGACAAATTTTAATGAAAATTAACATGGAATATTCTTAATACAGAAACCACTAGCGCAGTGTTCACACAGGTTCCTGGGAGAGCTGGCAGCTGCTGAAAAGGACCCACATGGGCCACCCCAGGAGAGCCGCACAGTGAGTTGCCCACGTTCCAACTGCATCTCCCTCCATCCCCACCACATCCTGTCCTTGTGGCCTCAGGCCTGTCACATGCTCAGGGTCCACCAGGACTAACTACAAAGGATTCAACCCTAAAATAATTTTTGAAGAGATTTATCTTCAAAAATTGTGGTGGGAGCAGCAGATTAAGTTGTCAGTTCAAGATCATTTCTGGAGGGTCTTAACTATTAAAGACAAAACAATGCAAAATCAACAAAAGCTCTTCAGTGAGACAGTCTTTATCTGGATTACTTCCTCTGCTAACTCAGCTGGAAGACCAATTATTTTCAGTTTCATTAAAAAAATATCAGTTCCCAATTCTTGGCAGAGCTACGTTATATATTCATATCTATAGGTTATGTTGAAGCAATTCTAGAATGTTCTAGCATGTGAAAACCGAGTTTGGTTGTTACTTAAATTTGCTAAGAAACTTGCATATATTGATACCTTTTCAAATTCCAAGGTGAACCTTCAGTTTCTAGTCTATTTTGAAACGAAACATTTTTATTTAAGATTTGACACATTTCTTTAAACTGCTAAAAAATCTTAAAAAGACATAATAAAGGTTATATGAAGGAAATGATAAAAATACGTTGTTTAGTACCCAAAAATAGTATTTGCGGAACACTGACTGTGTGCCAGGCACAGTGCTCAGTGCCTCAATACATTCATATTTAATCCTCATACTAACTGCTGTTATCCCAGTTTTCCGGGTCTGGAACCTAGAGCCTAAGCAAACTTGCTCAAGGTCACACAAGGGAGTAAGTGACAGAGCTGAAAGTATCACGCGGTTTAAAAAAACTAAAGGAAGAATACTTTTAGACTGCAGAATCCATTCGTCAAATGCAGTCTGACATGCGCGGCTACTCTGGTTTAAATGGCTCCATTTCCAGAACACCCAGTAGAAGAGAGTTCAGTCCCATCTTTTGTACACGTGTAAATTAAAGCCTGGAGGGGTAAATGGACCTGCTGAAGGTCATAAAACTACTTAACGGCAAAACTGGGACCAGAATTCAGGTCTTCTGCCTGCCTGGCCAGCACTGCTCCTGCTACAGACTTGCTTCCGTAGGAGTCTGCTGCTTGAGCTGAGTCTCGGTGCATAGAGGAGAGACGGTTACGTTATGGTTGCCTTCTACTGTACCCTCTGCCTTCTCAGCTTAGATGGGGTCTGCGTGAACCTTTACAGAATAGCAGCCATGACAGGTGGGAAAAAATAAGACGAATTATATCATTCCTACCCTCCCATCCTGGGCTCATAAGCTCGTGGGTGGCACTGCCGTCACCTCCTCCTGTCATCATTTTCCCCAGATGTGTTGCCGTGAAGTAGATTCGCTGGAAACTTACCCGTGTAAAATTCTCACGCCTTTTAGGCACTGATGCTTCCCCGTGGAGTCTAGTCTACTGCAGTGCAAAACACATGCATTTATTCTTTACAGCTCTCCAAGTTGCTGGAACTTTGGCTCAAAGTGGTAGCTCAAAGATGTGCATTCTCTGCAGTGTTATTCTTATAACCCTTTTTGTTGCGTTGGAGTCAAGGATCCTTTTTCTTTTCTTTGTTTTTTTGAATGCCGAGGGTCCTATTCACTTGTGGGGCCAGTCAGTGTTATGTGATGGTGGGCTTCCTTTAAGGGAAGGACAAAGCTCTGACGATATGCTAACCCAGACCAGTTCCTGTAACTCTACAATCTGTGCTGCTGTGTTTCTCTTTCTGTGCTGGGTGTCTAAGTGCCATGACTGTAGGTCCTGTAATGTTGTTATTCAGTGGTCCTGTGTACCTCAGAGCCCACTGGCTGGCTATAACTTGTCATTTTTTTCAGATGAATGCTCTGTACCATTAAGCAGGCTTTTAAATTTGGGCCTTTTGACAAATGAATGTCTGCTGTTGCGTGAAAGCAGATTTTGAAACCTGCTTTCCATTCCTCCAGGTACTACTTTTTCTTTGCTGTGTGCCTTTAATGTCTATGGAACTGTTGCAGAAAGAAGTTTAATGTGACATAAGCTAAATAAAGTGTTTTTTCATAATTTTGGTTTTAAAAATGTATTTGTTGGGAGTATAAGAACTTTCAGTAATTAGGCTAAGTAGTCAGTGTTCCCATTCTATTCTGAATTTTATTCCGTTTTAGGTTTGCAGAGCCCTTTAAGAATTTGATGAAAAGCACAGACACTCTTCCTGGACAAAGGTACATAAACAGAATGCTTACATACAATTTCAAGAGTTAAGAATCTCTGACTTAAACTGCTGAAGACTTTTTAAACAGCAGCAATTTAATCTTTAGTCAGCTAATCTCCCACCTGTGATTTATGACCAAAGGCATTGTATGCTCAAGTAAAATGCAGCTCACAAATATGAAAATTCTGATATGCAATGCATCAGTTCGGGGAGTAATTTTCTGTAATTACCTCATTTGGGTCAATTAGTATTATACCCCACGAGGGATGGAGAGAAAAGTAATTCCTTCATACTGACGCTAACTTAATGTCAAGGGTCATTTGAAAATTTCTCTCGCACGTGGGGAATGGAAGATGTAAAATCTCTTGAAGGTGTAAAACACAGATTATTTCATAACAAGAGCTGGGGGACACACTGAGCTGTGGGTGAAGGAAGGCTTCCCTGGGGTAGAAGCCTGGAGTACAGACTCAAGACTCAAAGGCCTCTATCCTGAGAGTTGGTGTGCATCATTAGACTTGAAAATGCAAATGACACTCTCCTTTCTCCGCAGCTTGGACTTGCCCCAGAGTCCCTCCTTACAGGCAGAAAAGGTCTCTAGAGTAGTCACCTCCTTTGGGCTGGAAAGAAGGGAAGGAGGTAGAGATATTCTGCCTTTTGCCTCCGGAGAACCTGGAGCAAGGACCTTCTAACCAACTCAATGGCTTAAAGAAAAAGTTTGGGTAATATTTTCATTTAAATTTCCCTCTACGGTTATTGTAATCCATGAAAAGAGATGGATTATTTTAGAGTTAAAAGAGACTTTGAGGTTGCATGGTAAAGCAGTACCTTTGTGTCCGTATCACTTCCAACAATTTGGTAAAGACAGTTCTCTTCAGCTGGTCCCTTTACATAAAGCTACTGGTGAATTGCACACGTTCTGGGGTGTCTGACCCACAGAAGGGCCACCAGTGCTGAAATCTGGCCTTCATCTACTGACAAGCTTCCTTGGCTTCCCCAAGGTTTGCACTTTGCAGAGAAGAAGAGAGGGACCGAAATTGCTTTGAGTCCATGGTGTCTCCCGAGTGTCAAGAGATGCAGGTTAAGAGCAGGTAACTGAGGAACTGGGTCAGTAACAACTTTTTTTTTCATATTCTTTTCCATTGTGTTTTTTTTTCTGGCTTTATTTTTAATTTTATTTTATTTTAAATTTATTTTATTTACTTATTTTTGGCTGTGTTGGGTCTTCATTGCTGTGCGTGGGCTTTCTCTAGTTGCAGCGAGTAGGGGCTACTCTTCGTTGCAGTGCGTGGGCTTCTTATTTTGGTGGCTTGTCTTATTGCAGAGCACAGGCTCCAGGCACGCGGGCTTCAGTAGTTGTGGCACGTGGGTTCAGTAGTTGTGGCTCTTGGGCTCTAGAGTGCAGGCTTAGTAGGTGTGGCACACGGGCTTAGTTGCTCCGTGGCATGTGGGATCTTCCCAGACCAGGGCTCGAACCCGTATCCCCTGCATTGGCAGGCAGATTCTTAACCACTGCGCCACCAGGGAAGCCCCTCCATTATGGTTTATCACAGGATATTGAATATAGTTCCCTGTGCTATACAGTAGGACGTTGTTGTTTATCCATTCTGTGTATAAAAACTTACACGTGTGAACTCCAGTCTCCCACTCCATCCCTCCCCACTCCCTCCCCCTTGGCAACCACATCTGTTCTCTACGTCCGTGATTCTGTTTCTGTTTCATAGATAGGTTCATTTGTGTCATATTTTTCAAAAAATATTTATTTGGCTCCGCTGGGTCTTAGTTGTAGCACACAAGATCTTTAGTTGAGGCATGCAGGATTTTTAGTTGTGGCATGTGGGATCTTTTAGTGGTGGCATGTGGGATCTTTAGTTACGGCATGCGGGCTCTTAGTTGCGGCATGTGGGAGCTAGTTCCCTGATCAGGGATTGAACCCGGGCCCCCTGCATTAGGAGCATATAGTCTTAACCACTGGACCACTAGGGAAGTCCCTATGTCATATTTTAGATTCCACATATAAGCGATATATGGTATTTGTCTTTCTCTTTCTGATTTACTACTTCATTTATTGTGATAATCTCTAGTTGCATCCATGTTGTTGCAAATGGCATATTTCATTCTTTTTTATGGCTGAGTAGTATTCTATTGTATATATGTACCACATCTTCTTTATCCATTCATCTGTCAGTGGACATTTAGGTTGTTTCCATGTCTTGGTTGTTGTGAAGAGTGCTGCTATGAACATAGGGGTGCATGTATCTTTTTGAATTATAGTCTTCTCTGGATATATGCCCAGGAGTGGGATTGCGGGGTCATATGGCAACTCTATTTTTAGTTTTCTGAGGAACCTCCATACTGTTTTCCACAGTGGCTGCACCAACTTACATTCCCACCAACAGTGTAAGAGGGTTCGCTTTTCTCCACACCCTCTCCAACATTTGTTATTTGTAGACTTTTTAATGATGGCCATTCCGACTAGTGTGAGGTGGTAGCTCACTGTCGTTTTGATTTGCATTTCTCTAATAATTAGCGATGTTGAGCACTTTTTCATGTTGGCCATCTGTATTTCTTGGCCATCTGTATTTCTTCTTTGGAGAAATGTCTATTTAGGTCTTCTGCCCATTTTTTGATTGGGTTGTTTGTTTTTTGCTGTTGAGCTGTATGAGCTGTTGTATATTTGGAAATTAAGCCCTTGTCGGTCTCATCGTTTGCAAATATTTTCTCCCATTCTGTAGGTTGTCTTTTCGTTTTGTTTATGGTTCCCTTTGCTGTGCAAAAGCCTGTAAGTTTGACTAGGTCCCATTTGTTTTTACTTCTATTGCCTTGGGAGACTGACGTGAGAAAACACTGGTAAGATTTATGTCAGAGACTGTTTTGCCTATGATCGCTTCTAGGAGTTTCATGGTGTCCTGTCTTATGTTTAAGTCTTTAAGCCATTTTGAGTTTATCTTTGTGCATGGTGAGAAGGTGTGTTCTAACTTCATTGATTTACATGTGGCTGTCTAGCTTTCCCAGCACCACTCGCTGAAGAGGAGACTGTCTTTTTCCCATTACATATTCTTGCCTCCTTTGTTGAAGATTAATTGACCGTAGGTGTGTGGGTTTATTTCTGGGCTCTCAATTCTGTTCCATTTGGATCAGTAACTTCTAATCACACTCTTTGTTTGGGTGGGAATAGACAGTGGTGCTGGAAATGGAAAGCAGATGGCTTTGTCTGTAACGTTTGTTAAACACTATGTGTTAATTCACCCCGGAGGGAGCTGGGAATACAAAAATCTGGGTGAAATGATCCTTTCACGTCCACCTTCCACACTGTGCTGCCCGCATCGCCCCCTACAGCATTGGAGGCTCACTGCATGGGGTAATCACCTCCTATACAGGTGTGGGTTTCTAGATCTCATAAGTTATTCTGTACAAAGATAAATAAGTAGAATATAAAGCTTAGCTCAAAATCTGTAAAACCTGTAAATCCCCTCAGATATTTAAAAAATAATTTTTGCTCTATGGAAGATTACACATAACGTTTAACTGCTTTGTAATATAATCTAGGAAGACAAAAGTATGGCTTTTTTGTTTTCTTTTAATGAGAAACATCTGAGTTGTACATACCACAAACAGCTTCAAGTCTCTGGACCAACCCCCCCACCCACCAGTGGCCAAACAGTTAAACAAAACCTGAAGCACCACTTTAAATGTGAAAAGTCTTATAAAATTAACTTACAAAAATGTCCCTATCAAGTCTGTAGTTTGTTTGGCATTTACTGTACATTAGTCAAAAAGCTCAAGCTAAAATCTGATTTTTAAAAAAAAAATCAAAGTTTACATTATTCATACAGATTCTGCATTGTTAAAAAATATGCACAAATAACCACATCCATGCAATATAATTTCTTTAAAAATTTAAAGCAATATAAAAGAGCAGACCTAAGTACTGAGCAGAACATTTTGGTTTTATAACCTGTAGCTCCAAGGTTGCTGCTGATTGAAGTAAAATTAACGCTAAATATTTTAAATATGATTGTTTCAATCAATCAGCCAAGGGTGCGTGTGAGTTTCTGAACCATTTCTGAGGCGGAATCTGCTTGCTTGTTTCTGTAATATGTATTATGTGATGAACACTACTGTTCACTGACCATATTGACTACATTTTAATAATGTGGTTTGACAAATCAGAATTCACAAAGTGCTTGGCTCTTCAGGAAACTGCGGTTTCCAGAGATCCCGAAACCAGTCAACTAAGTTTTGCCAAACTGCCCGGGGTGATGGCCGCCCAGGTTCCCTGCCCTGGGGGAAGATCATTTGAAAGCTGCCCTGGGTCCTGAGAGAGCTCTCTCTGGTCACGCCCAGAGGGAGGTGTCCGCAGCAGGTGGTCTCTGGACCAATGCTCAGAGTCCCCCACGGATTGGTCTGGGGCTGTGAGTCCGGCACTGCGCAAAGAGGCTGGTGGGTGTGGTGCTGCGGCCGGGCCGGCCTCTAGGTGGGGGGTGGCCCATTGGTGTACCTCAGCATGGGGTAAAAGGACCTGGCAAAGTTGTTGGCCTGAGTGCAGCTGTAGTCCTCTTCGGAGGAGGGCAGCAGGCAGGCCAGGAGCAGCAGCAGCAGCAGAAGCAGCTGGAGGGGCAGCGCCGCCCTGATCACCCGCCAGAGGAAGGAGCGCTGGGGCCGCGAGCTTTCAGGGCCAGCGGGGCTGGGCACCCTGGCAACAGAGGAGGTCAAGAGCTGATCGGGAGGTTCTGGAGGCAAACCCCGCTCCCGTGACCTGACCCCCCTGCTTGCGTAAAGACAATCATCAGGACCTGAGATTAAAATGGGGCCCACGGCTGGGATTCAGCTTTGGAAGGGAAGCCCAGCCCCTTCCAAATGGAAGAAAACAAGAAAACCAATTTTTCCAAAGACCTTAAGAGTGGCATTGGCAAGCCTGCTGAGGGGAGAGGAGTGTGGGACAGGGAACCCATTGCTGGTGCTGTAACGCTGTTACCTGCTGGCTGTCTTGGTCTTGTCTTTTGTAGTTACCTCTGCTCTGAACTGCTAGATAAAAATAATCCAGTTAGTAAACTGAAGACAGTTTAGTCCTGTCAATGATAAAACGTTCCTCCTCCTTAAATTATACATCTTTCTTAGGTTGTCTTCCTGCCAAGCTTTTGAGCCTAGAGTAATACATTTGAGATTACACTCTCTGAAGTAAGAAATAATTCAGTTAAACTAGGGAGAGTTTCACGTCCCAGCCTGTTGACCTGTTGCCACGGAGAGATCAGGAAGCCCCTTCAGCAATGCCAGGAGGGCTCCCAGCTTCCACAGCCAGCACAATCCCACCAGGGAAGAGTACTGAGCACAAGACAGCCTTTCCATTCGGTCTTTAAAAGTTTTTCTTTTTCTTTTTTTTAAATCTTTGGAGTAAGCCGCTCTACTGACCAGCAGGTTGAAGCAGAAATCTGTGCTATCATGAAATACTGGATGGGGCCTTGGAGGCCCAAGTCCCTGTCATCTCAATAACTTTCAAGAATAACCAGTGTCGTTTGCCTGGCAGAAGGGGGCTCTCACCTTGGCTTGGGGAGCTGGTACAGGTGCTGCTAGAGGCTCTCTGGGGTCTGCTTCATCCAAGCTGGGCAGAGGTGAGTCTGGGTTCTGAAATCCACACCCCAAGAGTTCAGTTCGGGGAAAGAGAAGGCTCTGAATAGTCTCAAGAGCACAAAAACATGGTTCCTGCAGGTTCTTCGTTGTACCGCTCATCCCTTCCCCACTGTGATCCTGCTAAAAGGAGGGGCTCTTCTGGTGCGCTCACTCCCCCCTCTAACAGGGCCTTACTCAGATGACAGGGGATGGAAACAAGGTGAGGCCAGCCACTTGCATTAAAAACCCAGAGCACACATGAGGAGGGGGACAGAAACAGCTGGACAGTGAGCTCGCGGTGGGTGATGTAATCACGTGGCCACATAGTCTGGGCTGCACGGAAGGAAAGATATATACTCTGGGATGGAGGGGAGGGGCTGCCCTATGTCTGGCGAGTCCATTTGTTCTGAGCTGGATCACATTTTAAGAGAAGAAGGTACACAAATGAGAGAGTGGTCAGAGGAGAGTGACCAGGACAGGGAGAGGACCAGAAACCATCACGTGAGAACAGTGAAGGCATGAAGGCAGAAGCGATGGAGGGACCCGGCTTGTTTTCCGTACCCCCAGCCACACTGATGGGTTCCATTGCTGCCTCCCTCTTACAAATGACAAAGCGGCTTTGAAGAGCTTTGGTAACTTGTTAGGGCCACACAGCACAAAGGGGCATGACTCCTCTGTGACCGCTGCCACGTGCTTGTGACCTCCCTCCCCAAGCAGGGCTGCCACACTGCTTTCCCATTTGCATACATTTTTATATTTAGAAGCTACAAGGGGACTCACCTGGCTTTGCTGCAAGGACACTAGGTCTTGGGACACTTGCTCAAGCAACTGTTTGAGTTTCTTCTCAATAACATGGACTTTCTCTTCAGCCTCAATGTAGTCTTCTCTGTGCCCCTTGATAAGCAGGCTGCTGGAAATCTCTTGTAAGGAGTTCACTTGAGGTTGACGCTCCACTAGCTCCTTTTCCAGTTGCTAAAAATAAAAACGTGTGTCAAACAGTTGCTTATCGAAAGGGAAGCTAGTGTGGCCGGAAGAAGCTTTCTCCATGCCAGGGAAGTTCCAGGATGAGTGGTGGCTGGTACCCAACTCAGAACCACCTTCTTCTACCTGCCTGCCTGTCCTCAAGCCTGGCATCACTTAGATAGCAAGTTGGTTACACTCTACCCCTATTTTTAATTTTATTTTATTCCTTCTCATTCTAAAGACAACAGTGATGCCGGAGAAGTTAGAGGAAAGGAGTGAGGGGGGTGGTGTGGGAAGACTAGGCCCTCATCCGCGACGGCAGGAAGTTGAGGGAAAGTCTAAAGTGGACAAATTGAGAAAGCGCAGCTTACGCGCACCATTGAGAAGTGTAAGGAATCAAGTGAATCTGCTCGTGCGGTCTTGCTTGATGTCTGACGTGGTAGCCGCTGGACAACGTGTGGCTACTGAACGTGATTAAAAGCTCAGTTTTAGTCACAGCAGCCACATGTCAAGTGCTTGGGTGCTACCATGGCTAGGAGCTGTTACACTGGACAGTGCAGCTATGGAACATTTCCATCACTGCAGAAAGCTCTATTAGAGCTGCTCTGGACACAGAGGCTTTACAAAGATTTTAGACCAAAAACATATTTTTTAAGCAATGACCAGTGTTTTGATTAAATTTAAAATGTTTAAAACTAAACCACATACAAATATACGGATAAAAATGTCACCTTGAGTGCAAGTGAGAATATATGGGTCTCACCTTGGCTTGCTGGTGAAATAAATGTATGAAAACACAGCTACCCTCCCAGAAGAAAGACTGTGTATGTGGCTATGGAAAACTCATACAGCTCGAACACCGTGTTTCCTCCCAAATGAGCTGTATTCACAAGGGAAAAATACTTCAAAGGGCCTTCAGTTTCTCAGGATCCTGCCAACCACCTCCATCACCGGTTCCTGAGAGTCTTGAAGACTTCCTGCTCTGGGCCACGACTTTTCGTCCCTGCACTCACCCCGCTTCGGAACAGCGCAGGGATGCTCAGTAGACACCAACCAGAACACGAGGGCAGAACACCATGTGGGCGTTGTTTCCAGAAACGCCAGGCGAGGCCACCTAAGCACTGACCTCCTGAAGAGGCCAGTGGTAGTGCAGGGCCCCTAGACTTACCAGGAGCTCCTCCCGACATGCCAGGAGGGGCCGGGGGTCTGCCTCTTGGTCAGTGACACGAGCCTCCTGCCTCCGGCTCTCGGCGCTCGCTAACCACAGCAGCAGGCTTTGACTCAGCTGGTGAAAGTCCTAAAAAACAGCAGACGTCAGAGCATGTCCCTTTCTTAGACTGTGAAGGCAGGTGTGCTGGGAAGCAGCGTGCCATTGCTAATCCATCATCGTCATTTGCTCTGCTGGTCCTTATCCAGTGAATACAAGGGCCAGATTTAAACTAAATGCCAGGGCCCCCAAATGAGGGGAAGCAGGGCAGGAGAGCACTCAGCCCTGTCCCAGGAGGCACACTGAATTCTGCCACGTTAAAAGTGCTGGCAGAAAGGTGGGGCTTTGGAACACCCCACCTGATATTACTAGGAAGAGCACACAAATTATTCAACACGTCTGCTGGATTCACTGGTGGGCTCCTGTTTCCTAGGATGGGGTCAGAGCTCACCTGTTGGGCATTTACTGTGTGGCCGGTGCTGGGTCAAGGTTATATGCATCTAGTCCTAAAAAGAACCCTGTGAGGTAGGCCCTGGAATTGTTCCCATTTTCCAGATGAGAAAACTGAGGTCTAGAAGGTGCAGTGTTTTCCCCACAGTCACACGGCTACTAAAACTACAGAGCTGGGTTAAACTGCTCCTTGTTCTAGGGCCAGGTTTCTTAACACTCTGCTATCCAGTGTTCCTGGCAAAAGGACAGACACAGGGCAATGTTGGTGTGACACTTCCAACCTACTGGAACGCTTGCTGGAACCCTTACAGTACGGGTGGGTCTGGGCAACACAGTGGGAAATGCAGGGCAAGTGTCGGGTCTCTGAGGCAGCAGGTAGGCCGCTTTGGAAACAAATGGTAAAGCGCATGCTTCCTAACACAAACCATATTTGGCTGCGTGAAAGCAGCCTGAAGATGATAAACATATCTCTTCTCCCACCCACGTGGGCCTGGCTGTGCTCGGGACTGGACCTTGGGCACCGGCTGGGTGCTGAGTCGCCGTACCTGGCACTGCATGAGCGACAGCCGTAAGCCCTCTCTCCAGCTCTCCACCGCACCCTGGGCCGCGTCCCAGCGCAGCCGCAGCTGGCCGACTCTATCTTGGAGCTCTTCGGAGTCGGTGCTCTCAGTTTGCAGAAATTCCTTGCTGCTCACGTTGACAGAAACCACTAAGGCCTTGTAGGTGTCAAAGGCTTTTAGTATCTCCTACCGCAGAGGGAAAAGACTGGGTCAGGCACTCTAAACAGTGATGTGGGGTTCATTTTGAACTTCAGTGGGGAACGGATCTTCCAAACACTTCTCTAAGCCGTGGCCCGGCATACAAGAGCAACGTCGCCTGTCACTGGCTGGGAAGCCTCAGGTAAGGGAGCTGCCTTACAAGGTCACGACTTGGCTGGCCAGATGACTGGGCTGAGAGACGAGGCCCGTCTCCCAGTGGACCAACTACACCGCAGGCGTGAATAGACCCTGCTGGCCTCTGTCTGGCTTAATAACATTTCTGGGTCAGATTAAAAGTCTTCTACATAAAGCACACATAGTTATCCTGCATTCGACCCGGAGTATTGCAGAAGTGTTATTCCGTAGGATGAGTGGTAACCCCTGATGTGTCAGTGCACAAAGTAAACCAATAGTACGAATGTGAAGACTGCCTGGATACCCCAAAGCTCCTATCCTGGGTCTTCTTGGGAGCCCAGGCTCATGTTCAGAGCACCCCCAAAGTGCAGGGCTCAAACTGCCCCTCCCCTGCTCCCTGGCTGTGTGGGTGACAGCTCCCAACTGCGTAGCAGAGTAACCGCTCAGGCCGCAGAATCGGTCGGTAGGTGCGCTGTCCTCCTGCTCACCCTCCACACGCCACCCCCCGTCTTGCCTGCGTACAGTTTGGAAGGGTGTTTTTAGGCTGCCTGTCCATGGCCACGGCGGGGGGTCCCACAAGAGTCCAGGGATCCCTCAGCAGTCAGGTGGGAGCCGCACCTCCCCAGCACTGCTCTGGGCTTTGGGATCATCTGGAGATGCTCCTCTGAATGAAAATACAAATCTTCACCTGTGTCCTTGCTAGTTACAGAAATGAAGTGCGAGAGGCTACTAACCACACAGCGTGTGCGAGCCGCCCCCGATGCGGCAGGCAGAGGATCTGACGTGCATATGCGTTCTGAAGTCCTCTTCCCCTCCACGCCCTCACTCACCTTCAGCCTCTTCACTCGGAGTTCCATTTCCTGCATACCAGAGGGAGGCTTTGCCAGCTTTAATGTTTCCAGCTCTGCTTCAGTTTTTTCCAGCCACGTGGTGATGTCGCTGATATCAGAGTTCAGCTGCTGCAAGTTTTGTTTTATTCTGAGTTTACTGTGAAGTTCTTGCGCTTGGATCAACTCCCATCTATCAAAGGCACCTGGAATAAAAAGCCGCCAATAAAAAGAATAATGCAAACATTTCTCTGCTTCCAACTAATTCAGCGTCACAGTGATAAAATCTGCGGGGCATGCTCCTTGCAGGAGCCTTGGGGTTTGGGGGTTATCACTTCCCCCAAGTGTGGAACAGCATGTTTCCCTCGCTCTGGTTCAAGCCCTGTGCTGCTGCACTCCCACACAGGCCAGGACGAAGTAGGGAGCTGCTAGGAGGCCCAACATGTTGCCAAGATGCACTGTGGTCCCAGGTTCCGCACTCCAGTTCATGCTGTATTTAAGGCACTCTCGGGCTTCCCTGGTGGCGCAGTGGTTGGGAGTCCGCCTGCTGATGCAGGGGACATGGGTTCGTGCCCCGGTCCGGGAAGATCCCGCATGCCGCGGAGCGGCTGGGCCTGTGAGCCATGGCCGCTGGGCCTGCGCATCCGGAGCCTGTGCTCCGCAACGGGAGAGGCCACAATGGTGAGAGGCCCGCATACCGCAAAAAAAAAAAAAAAAGGCACTCTCCCCTCTGTCCATGAATGATCAGGTTGATGCTATGAACTTGACTTTAGGCTCAGTTGAGTCATGACTTTTCTGGTCTCTCGAGGAGACACCCGACACAACCCTTTGATCATCATCTTCGTGTCTGATCTTCACATACAAGCGAAGTCATGCAGGTAAAAACAGACCCTTTATCATGAGGCTCATTTTGTCAATATTTAGAGAATAAATAACAAACAGGAATTTGTTCATAAATACAAGTCAGCTGATTCTAAAATAACACTGGCTGCTATAGGCCAAGTTCAGCAGTTTTGGTGAATTATGTAGTTGGTCAATTCCTAATCAATGCTCTGTTGAGCAGTGCCTTGAAGTAAATGTCCAACTAACCCAAAACACAGTCTCCACCTCATAACAACGGCCCAATTTAACTGTACCTGACTGCTGCCCGGTGAGAGCAGCCAGGCCCTCGTCTTCCCGCTGTGGGCCGCCAGTCAGGACTCTGGGATCTTCTTTGCCACCTTCAGTCCCTGGAGACAACAGCAGCTTTACCTAGAATGAGACAATTTTTATGTTACCATCTGTACATTTTAAAGGCATCTGAAGAATGTCTTGGTTCATATTAACAGGTAAGAAATGAAGATATAGGAGCCCTTTCTTTTGAAGGGTAACTTGCTGGTAATACAGAGGCACTTTAGTGTATGGGTAGCATTTATAAGCAGCAGAGCTGATGGCAGAAATAAAGCTTCCGCAAAGGCACAGGGGGAAGGGTAAGCAGGTAAGATGTCAATATTGGGAATAAAACGGCCTGATTTAATTTGAGGCTTCCTAACACTCCTCAATCCAACCATGCAAAAAGACTTAAAAACAATCGTTGAGCTTACCAGACTGTTATTGTGTTAGCACTTTTACCTTTGCACAGTATTTTACAAAATTTTAGTTATCCCTCCCAGTCACTCCGTAGAGCTGGTTGGCATTATTATCACCGGGAATCGGAAACAGAGCACAAACCTGCCTCCTAGGGTCATTCATTACCAAGCATTTATCTTTCACTGTACATATTGACTCTTGTGTTATCACAGAGCTGCCTGGGCTGTTATCTCAGGACTTTCCAAAAATAAATGTATCTTTTTTTTTTAGAAAACTCGTGTTTTTTGGATTGTGTCCATATGGCCTATTTGTGTGGAATGAAAAGAAAAAACCAAAGATCCTTCAGATTGGAGGTTGCAGACACACAGACACAAAGGGCTGAGCTTTTGAAGGTGGCCAGGCAAGGAACACAAGCATAGTTACCGGAAGAGGCCAAACCACATGGTCCTGGATGCAAAGCAAAGGTGAGGTGCTGGGGGCTCTCTCTCCGGGACTGTTAGGTCTTATTCGGCACCACAGAGGGACAGATTAAAAATGATAACTGCTTGCTAAGAGGAAGAGTTTCCGAGTTGGGCACGGGCAACACATTATCAAATGATTGGGGTCTGACCGTGTTTAGGCAGAACCTTCTCCAACTGTCTAGCAACATCCACTCCTCCACACAGAGGGCACTCTGACAACTGATCTAGTGATGTTCACATCGCTTCTGGTTTCTCTAAGAGATGACACTAAAAATGTGTGAGACGTCTTAATTTCAACTTGCTCGTCACTAATTCTCTGTACTGAGAACGATCTGGGGCCAACATTAAATCCTCCGCAGGCTGGCCCGCAACAGCTGCGTAACCAGAGCGTGGCAAGGGCTCATGTTGCCTGAGGAAAGTGCAACTAAGAGGGAACAGTCACTGGTTTAACGACAAACCATATACAGTAGTGATAACAACAATAACAATAATGGTGACCACTTCGAGGGCCTTCTTTATACCTTCATACACATTAATGCTAACAACAATTACGTAAGGTAGGTTTACCCTCAGGTGAGGAAGGCTTACAGAGGCAAGGTAAAGTGTTTATGGTCCTAGAGCCATTTACTGGTAGGGCAGGGAATCAAACCCAGGTCTACCACTGCACACTGTCAAACCTTTCTGAACAGGAAGTCACAATTTTCTGAATACGATGTGTAGGCAAGGTAAACATCAAAGGTTTGGGAGCGCAGGAGTGGCTCAGGAAGGCCAGCACTTTGTTCCTCTGCTGTTTGCACGATGACTGACTCAACAGTAATAATCCCTGTCATAGCACATCAACACTCAAAGACGGTGTTTGGCCAGACGGCTATCTCTAAGTCCAGTCAATTATGCCAGAGTTCTCATGAAGTATGTCACCACGGGAAAACCAACCCAAAATATGCCTGGGGAGTGAGCACACACAGCATACACCCAAAGCTCTCTCCCTTTAAATGTTTTAACTATTACTCATGCACTTGGGTTGTGCTCTCAGCGGGGTCAAGACTTACGTAGGCTGGTTTATAAGGGGTGCTGGAATCGGAGGGGATGGGTTGGACATTCCTGTCACCTCCCATTTGTTTGTAGCGACGCTTGCGGCAGGGAGGGCTGTCAGGAACATGCCACGAGTGGCCTTCAGAAATGGATTTACCTGAAACAGAAAAATAGCAAGTGACAGTCCATTCCCTCCAGCCAAAGCATTCATATTTAGTTACACAGAAAAGGTCACGGGTAACATGGCATCAGGTTATAGTATAACATGAGTTCTGCAGCTTTCCTTGCAAAGCATGCATGTTTGCAAAATGTCAGTATGTCCCCGAAGGGAATGAAATGAGACTCATGCAACTGAGCGGCACTGGGCCTGCACTAGATGGGTTCACAATGGAGCACAACAAACACGTGACCTGCTACGGGATGAGTGGCCTTTTGGAGCCGGGGGCTCTAGCGGTAGGGGGCACTGGCGGCAAGGCCGGGTTTGGGGGCCAAGAGGACTGAAGTCCTCTTAGGAGTGAGGGAAGAGTGAACATCAGGATGGACTAGGGGACCGAAGGGCCACTCGTGGCTCTCCCCAACCACTGCAGGTGGGGATGGGGCAGGGAATGAAGATCAGAGCTGCAAGTCAAGGAGAGGGAGGTGTCTTCTCCTGTGGCAAAGGCAACAGTACCCTCACCCCCCCCAGCTTCCCACCCTCTCCCCAGGAAATCACCGTAAGCAGGGTAGTAGTTCTAAACCAAGCCACCATGAAGAAAGCTTGGCCCATGCCAAAGGGCTTGAGTGAGATGGAGAGAAAAATAAAAATTTTAAAAGGCACCTGAAAAACTCCCTTCTGCACAGGCCTGAAGGGGAGGAGAGGGATGGCGTGGAGACTGCTCTGGCCTGGGAGGGTTTTGTATGGAGCACGAAGCTATGTGTGAGTACGGCAGTGCAAATACACCATGACACAAGGACCAAGGCGCATGGTGTCCACAGAAGGCAGAGGTCAGACATGACACGGGAGCGAGGTTTAGGATGCAGTGTGCACCACAGGACGCTGCCATGTTGGGACGCATGCACGGGCAGGGGCCTACCAGAAGACGCTTTCAAAGTTTTTGTGGTCATTTTAAGATATGCCTCAGGATTTTCAGGGATTTCTACATCTGAAAAAGAACAATGTCATTTTCCTCACTGCAGGCGTCTGTAGATGAATGCCCAAGTATTAAGTTAAAACAGTAGAAACATTGTCACCTGGGAGGAGAAAAGTGACTACCCTTTATCTGTTTTATTAAAAAGCTTTAAAGACCCAGAAGGAATTTTTCAGTTAACTCCTGACCGTCCGAAACAGCGGCGCGGGAGGGGAACTGCGTAGAAAGGACAGAGACGCTCAATCTACTGATATTCTGAAAAACTCAATCGAAAAGGCCACTGATGAGCCTCCCGTCTATCAAGAGCCATCAGCAAACAGCCTTCATGTCCCAACGTGGACTTTGTGTATTTTTCCCTTTCATTCCACCAGGAATAGGAAGGAGCCAGCCCTCAGGTAGGTCAAAGGCGGGCAGGACAGACACAGGAAGCCACAGGAAGTCTGGGTCAGCCGCAGCCTGGACTCTGACCACTGAGAGCTGGCCGTGTTGCTCAGGCGCTAAGGACTAGCCGTGCGGGGCCATACCTGACAGCGCGCTGTAGTACGGGCCCTCCTCGTCTTCTTCGTGAGAGGAGGAGCCCCCCACGTCACCTGTGTGATCCCACTCCAGCGGGATGGAATCCACGCTGACAGGGGTCTCACAGCCGGAGCGCTCGGGCCCTGGCGCTGGGGGCACCAGGTGACAAAGGGACTGAGGGGACGAGGGCTCCTCGCTCTCTCTCCTTTTACGCCAAGAGTCGTCCTGGATCTCTCTGGGGTCTTCCACATCCGTTTCATTCTCAGAGGCTTCCTTTTCATCTTCCAAGCCCTAGAACGGGGGTATCCAGTTTTCAGAATTAACCACTGGGAACTGGCGGCTTCTGAGTAAGTATTGGCTCTATATTAGTAAGTGTGGAAAGAGCACTTTTCAACTCAGCTTTTTAAAGCAGACTCACAGATACAGAGAACAAACCAGAGGTTACTAGTGGGGAGAGGGAACCGGGGAGGGGGCAATATAGAGCTGGGGGACTAAGAGGTACAAACTATTCGGTATAGAACAAGGTACAAGGATATATGGTACAACACAGGGAATACAGCCAATATTTTATAATAACTATAAATGGAATATAATCTTTAAAAATTGTGGATCACTATACTGTACACCTGTGACTTATATAATATTGTACAGCATCTATCTATACTTCAGCAAAACAAAAACATAGTTTTTGTTTTTCCTTTTAACCATAGAATAAATCATTGTTAACCACGCACAGTTTCCCAATTCTTTAAAAGTGGAGGCAAACATCCACTTCGGGTGGCCCAGCAGCCCCACGTGAGGGGCAGCCCCTTACCGACGCGTGGGAGGTGAGCCTCCGGTGGAATCGGGAGACCCTGCCAAACACTTCCTGGCAATAGCGGTGCAGCTCCTCCAACTCATCCTCAATCAGCACGGCATCCAGGGGCTCACTCTTCTGAATGAGCTGCTCCCCAAAAACGATAAGCTGATCAATCTTGTTGGTATTTAATGTAATTTCCTGCTGGAAACCCTATTTAGAATATGAGAAAGAAAGGATTTCAAACTCAAACTTCATCAGTTTTCAACTAAGTGACTCCAAAGATTTAAGAATTTAAAATGATCATATGTATGTATTTTTTTCTTCCCCCTCCTGGGCACTGACTTTTCCAGTTACAATGATTCTAAAGGTCTGACATGGATGAACCTTTACTGTTACTGAGTGCGAGGGACAGACCTTGTCTTATTGACGCTTGGTAGAATCAGAAAATTTCCCGTAGTAAGTCTCCACCGGGCATTTCTGCTGACACAGTAATAATGCTCATTGGTGCCGTTATACCATGGAAGGCAAATCAAATTTCCATTTCTCAACCTCTTATAAAATTTAGCCAAGGAGGAAATTATAGTGCGATTAAAGTGTAGTACAGACATCTGTGACAGTGGGAGAGAAGATACCTGTTCCTGGTCCCACTCTTTTCTTTTTTTTTAAAAAAAATGAGAGGTCTTTTATTTTTTTAATTTATTTCTAAAATATTTATTTATTCATTTAGCGGCGCCGGGTGTTAGTTGGCGGCATGTGAACTCTTTCTTGCGGCATATGGGATCTAGTTCCCTGACCAGGGATCGAACCCGGGCCCCCTGCATTGGGAGCGTGGAGTCTTACCCACTGGACCACGAGGGAAGTGCCCTGACCCCACTCTTGAGAGAGAGTTTCCTGCTGCTACAGCCCACAGGTTGCACTCAGACTCAAGTGCTGGAGAAACAGCACCTTATGAAGTCCTGTCTGGAACCGCAAGAGCGTTCTCCCCTTGGATGATTACATACGACAAAGAGAATAAAGGGCCTCGTTCCAATACCCCTTGACTGTAAGGAACAGTATCCTTGCTTGTGATAACCTGGCAGTACACAGGTGGATGCAGTCTGGCTGCTCTGACACTTCTGGAACCTGCTCTCAGGGTATCAGGTGAAGTCTGTACTTGGCCAGCTCTCCCCTGCCTAGGTGCACTCTTTGGGGAGGAGCTAAGGAAGCAGGCCTTACGTTCAGCTGGCGCATCTTGTCGTCAGCATCGCTCTCCGAGAAGTGCTCCACGTTGGTCAGCTGCAGGTCCATCTCCGTGAGCCACACCAGAATGCTCTCCCTGGTCCCCTCGAATTCTTCCCTTTGGTTGGTGAAATGCTGCGAAAGGGTGAAAAAATCACGTTTGTGTTGATGGCGTAACGGGAGTTCAGGCGGACAGCAAGGTCACTCTCAGAAGAGGGGAAAGGTAGCCCAGGGTACCCCCGGAGGCCCACACGGCCAGGAGCCTGGGGTCTGGTCCTGGCTGTGGGATACCAACGAGCCCCCTAAACTTCCCTGAGTCTCAGTATCTGCTGGTAAACGAGGTGTGGGAACGTTGACCGTGATCTCTAAGGTTCTTGCAACATTTGAAATTCTATAATTCTCTATTCTAAGTCAGTGATTTTCCCAGTCTGTCCTCTGAGGAACACGCCCCTCTCAAAGTCCAGGCTAGGCACTTGCCTATTTTCAACTGTTAGCCTCCTGTGGGAGCTTCTGCTTGACAGAAGGATTTAGTAGCTTCAGGATGGAAAAGTATTGATCTCGGGGTTGAGCCTGGACTAGTGCCCCATTTGCCTTCACTGATATAATTCCGAATGTATTTCTTCAAAAAAAGAAAACCCAGATTTATCACTTCCAATTAATGAGGCCTCTTGGGTTACCACCTCATAGATGGGCAGCTGATTCTCAAACAAACATAGTGCCCAATGAAGGTTTAGGCTGGTCACAGTCAAATCAAGTCAGCAGGAGATAAAGAAATTAAGGCAAGGGGGTTGTGGAAAAGCTAGCCCATTTCTTCCTGAGAGGGTTAAACAAAAAACCCAGATTTTCCTCTTAGAATGGTTTCAAGAGTGCTCTGCCTTAAGAACGGAAGCAAGGATTAAAATTACTTCCTGTAGCCACAACCCACACCGGTCCTGTCAGTTTACACCTGGACTCACAAAAGTTGACATATGATGTCTTCTGAATCACAAAATCTAAGGTGACGGTTCACACCCCAGAATCAAACCCATCATTTGAGGTTAGACAGCTGCTGTGAGGTTGGGAGAACTGTCACTGTCCCCAAGCCCCAATACAGAGCGGGGGGCTCTGTCTGTTCCCCCACAGTGCAAGAACCAACGGGACACACAAAAGTGGGCAGATGGGCAAAGGGGGCCTCGTCTCAGACTAAGAGGTACCTTCGCCCGACCCGGTGACGGCAGCGCCCCAGACTGGGCAGTGTGTGGGCTGACGTGACACCCTCAGGGGTGACAGGAGTGGAAAAAAAGCGATGTGTTGGTAACACAATCCCTTGAATAAGCTCTGCCTGAGAAGCCTATTCCGAGGCAAATAACTTCACTTTAAAAAAAAAAAAAAAAGGAACGCTTTTTGGCAGCTTTGCGCTTAAACAAAAGGGAGGCTGTACTGGAAGAATGTCAAGACAGCTTAGGCCTCAAATGAAATCTACCCGCTGCTTTGTTACAAGCCTGACATCACATATCCGACCCCCTCCACCTCCCCAATATCTACAAATGACCCGGTGACGTAGAGGAGGTTACTCGGAGTCTCCGCAGGATGGCTGTGACCCGCTTCTGGAGGTTGTCCCAGCGCTGGTTGCCCTCGTGCACCATCTGCTTCAGTTTGCTGGCCGTGTCGGTGCGGTTCTCGCGGGCCAGCCGCCGGTACTGCTTGTTGATGAGCTCCAGCTGCGTGAGCCTCTCGTGGATCTGCCGCTGGAAGGCCTGTGGCAGGAGGGGACCCTGTCAGTGCCATAGCTGCAGGGCCCCGGGACACCCCTTCCAGGCCCCAGACCACCTGCCTCAAGTGTCCATCCAACGGAATGGCCACAGAGGGCTGGCTTCACCCGTTCTTCTGACACTACTGAAGAACAGACTTTCAAGTTCACGGCCTGCGGTTGGCATAAATCGGTAATGCCCCACAAAGCCGCTGGAGCAGCTGATGGCGGGCTGGGGACTGGGCGGCCGGGGCCAGAGGTGGGGAAGCCTGCCACTTATGGGAAGTCATTTAAGCCGGCCCCGAGCCCGCCGCATCCTTGGTTATCAGGACCACTGCGCTGGGGAGGGCCTTTACCTCGAACCTCTTCAGCTCTTCTTTGGCAACGGTGTACAGCACCTCGGAGGAATTCGGGCAGGCCGCTGTCCTCTCGGCGGACTTGAGCCAGTCCTCGAAGCGGGAGTAATCATCTAAAAACTTCTGCCAAAGCCGCCATGTCTCCTCAATTCTAACAGGAGGAAAGCAACTCAGTACAAGCCATCCACGTCAAGCCGAGCTTTTACATGGCTTTTTCTCCCCTGACTGGTCCCAGTCCCAGTCCCCCTTGCACTGGCACTAAATATTTAGGGGGAGAGACCCTGCTACCCCTTCCAGGAAATAACCGGAGACATCACTTTGTGGTCAGGACACCCCCCCTTCTGGGAGCGCCAGGCCCCTCAGAGCTTCTGCTTCACAGAGGTCACCCAACAGGAGACAGGCGTCCTCCACTACTTAGAGCTGGGACACATCAGCACAGTGGCCACCTGCTGTTACACCCCAAGACACAGGAGGGCTGGGGAGAGACAGGACCCTGCCTGTATTCTCCTTGAATGATCCCCTTAATAAGGACTGGCCACACCTACTGAGCCTTCCCCGCCAATACTTGGCACGCCCCTCAGTGAAGCTAACAGAACACAGTCACTGTTATGTAGGTCAGTCGGGAACACGCAGTCGGCATCCAGAGGCAGCTCGGTCCTTACTTCATCCGCCGCTCCATGGACATGGCACAAATGTTCCTCCAGCGCCGGTCCAGGCTCCTGGTGGTCTGCTGGACGGAGTCGCACTCAGTCTCGTTGGCACAGGCATCGGAGTCGTGCAGGAGGACGTCGCAGATGTTAAACACAGACTCCACCCCTGCACTGTGCTGTTCTATGTCTCGCTGCAGGTCCTACAACGATGGGAGAGTAGGAAGCACACTGAGGTGCTGGTGGCAGTAGTGGGAAGGTTCCCCCTGACCCTCTTCCAGCCCGGGGGGCACGGTCCTGTGTGCATTTCTACCTGGGACTTGGCAACATAGGCTGAGTCTCTCTCACCTTTGGGCAACCCCTGTGCGACAGTATCTGACACA